CGGCAACCACAAGCACCAAATGTCTGTGCCTTATATCATATACGCCGACTTTGAAGCCTTGGTTAAACCTGTTGAGGCTGCCGCCGGCGGGGCTCCCACAGGTGAGAGCTTCACACTCAAAACACAGGAGCATGAAGCCTGTGGGTTTGGATACGTTGTCGTCCGTTGTGATGGGGAAACGAAAGCTCCGGTAGTGTACAGGGGTCCCGACGCGGCTGAAAGGTTTCTTAAGTGTTTGCAGGAGGAAGAAAAAATTATTAGAACGCCGCTGTATAGAGTCGCCCCATGTGTATGACCCTTAAGCCGACAGGCTAGCTCCGCCTGTAGCACTAATTGTCACGTGTGTGACTCACCACTTAACGGTGATTCGGTAAGAGATCACTGTCCACATTAACCGTAAGTATAGAGGCGCTCGCTCATAGCGCGTGTAACCTCAAGCTTAGAATCACCCCTAAGACAATAAACATCCCCGTTGTCTTTCACAACTTGAGAGGGTATGACTCACACTTGATCATGCAGGCCATCACGAAAATCGATGGTAATATAACGTGCATCCCCAACAACATGGAGAGATACATCTCCTTCAGCTTAAACGGTCTTAGGTTCATAGATTCAGTACAATTTCTATTGTCTTCACTAGACAGTCTGGTCAAGGCCAATGATACCTTCCCTATTACCGATCGATACACAGACGCCGAGACTAGACCCTTGCTTATGAGGAAGGGTGTGTACCCCTATGAGTACATGGATAGTTGGCCCAAGTTCGCTGAGACCAGACTACCCCCCATCAGAGAATTTTACAGCAATCTGACAGACTCGGAAATATCCCAAGACGATTACTCACACGCTATTAATGTATGGGATAAACTGGGTTGTGAGAACCTGGGTGACTATCACGACCTGTACTTGAGGACGGATGTACTGCTGTTAGCCGACGTGTTTGAGACGTTTAGGCGGACATGTTTCAAACAGTATAAACTCGACCCCGCATGGTATTACACCAGCCCAGGTCTGTCGTGGGATGCCTTGCTTAAAAAGACCGGAGTTAACTTGGAATTGCTTACGGATTACGACATGCACCTATTCATTGAGAAAGGCTTGCGAGGTGGGATCTCCATGGCAACCAAACGATAAGCGAAAGCAAATAATCAATACGTGAAGGGCTACGACCCTAACAAGCCAACCAATCACATTCTCTACCTCTACGCCAACAACCTGTACGGCTGGGCTATGAGCCAGTATCTACCCACAGGGGGATTCGAATGGGCGTCACATGTTGATGTTATGAGCATCGCGCCAGATTCGAATAAAGGTTATATCCTCGAGGTTGACTTAGAGTACCCCAAGGCATTACACACATCACACAACAGCTACCCCCTGGCCCCCGAACGTATGAGAGTTAACCCAGACTGGATGTCTGAGTACCAACATAACTTGTTAGGTGGGCGGGTGGCTGACGTTGAAAAACTCGTGCCCAACTTAATGAATAAGACCAAGTACATCGTTCACTATCGCAACCTACAGCTGTACCTGTCGTTGGGTATGAGGCTTACCAAAATACACAGGGTGCTCGTGTTCAACCAGAGCCCATGGATGGATCCCTACATCAGAATGAACACAGACCTCCGAAAGCTTGCCACCAGTGACTTTGAAAAAAATCTCTACAAGCTCATGAACAACTCGGTGTTCGGTAAGACTATGGAGAACCTGAGGAAGCTGGCGTGACCGTGAAGCTGGTTCGGTCGAATGAGGAAGACAAGCTCAGGAGACTGATAGCCAGTCCGGCATTCAACCCGTAGCAAGATATTCACCGATGACCTAGTTGCCCTACACATGAAGAAAAGCCACATAAAATTCAACCGGCCTGTTTACGTGGGGATGAGCATCCTCGATTTATCCAAACACCTGATGTACGACTTTTACTACAACGAGCTGAAGAAACAGTACGACGACAGGTGCGAAGTGCTGTACACTGACACGGATTCCCCTGCTGATGGAGATTCGAACCGAGGACGTGTACGAGGACATGAAAAAACACCTCGATTTGTACGACACCAGCGACTACCCCAAGGACCATGCCATACACAGCACGGTAAATAAAAAAGTCCTAGGTAAGATGAAGGACGAGTGTGCCGGCACGCCAATAGCCGAGTACATAGGGTTGAGACCTAAGATGTACTCCATCCTGAAGGCCGACAATAGTGAGATCCGGAAGGCTAAGGGTGTTAAGAAGTACGTGGTGAAACAACACATCAAACACGCCAGATTCAAGGAAGCCCTGTTCAAGACCCGTACCTTTAGACATAAAATGAACACACTTAGAAGTGATGGCCATAAGATATACGGACTGACTATAAACAAGACGTCCCTGTCGCCTATGGATACTAAACGTTGGATAGCTATTGATGGGATAAACACGTACGCGTACGGGCATGAGAAAATTGAACCAAGAACATAGATATAAATATGTCACGGAACCAGAGAAAGTTTGAGGCTATTTACTATAGCCCGCGTGGGTACTGGAAAGGAGCTAGCTTGTAGATAAGCTGGCTAAAATGGCGCGAGTACTCGAGGAGGCCAAAGCGTGGGTTTGAAAAACAAGCCCTGTGGCAGATCTATTTGCCGCCACCACGCTACGTGCCTAGAAGGAAGTTTGGTATTAACATACCTAATAGCGTTCACCAGGCAGACCTACTGTTCCTACCCCACGATAAGAGGTACAAGTATGCCTTAACCGTAGTGGATATAGCTAGTCGCTACAAGGAAGCCGAACCCTTGACCGCGAAAGATTCGGTCCAGGTAGCCAGAGGATTCGAACGCATATACAAACGCAGTCCGCTGACGTGGCCAACAGAGCCGCAAGTTGACCCCGGGCGGGAGTTCATGGGTGTCGTGTCGCAGTTGCTGGCTAAGCACAAAGTACGAGTGAGACGAGGTGTGGTAGGAGCTCATCGCATCCAAGCCATAGTTGAGAGATTTAATAGGACTTTGGCTGAGCGATTATTCGGACATCAGTATGCGAGGGAGTTGGCTGCCCCGGGAAAACGATCGACTGAATGGGTCACGAGGTTACCTAAGGTGGTGTCGGCAATCAACCATGAAGTCACCCGTCTCACCGGTAAGAAACCGGCAGACGCTATCAAACTAAAATCAATAGTGTCAGAGTCGGCCGCTCCATTGCGTGGGAAAGAGAAACAGATACCAGATAGGGCCCTAGTTAGGTATCTATACCAGCCTGGGGAACACGAGGGTGATAGCCGTAAGCGAGCCACTGACCCAATATGGTCAGTCAAAACTTACAACATAGATAAAGTGGACATTAAAGCAGACGAGCCTAACTTGTACTACTTGAGGGATGGGCCAGGCAGAGGGTTTGTAAGAGAAGAATTATTGATCGTACCGTATGGCACAGTGTTACCACCAGTCAACGTGACATAGATGACAATTCCCTTGGGAGGAAGCACAATACATTTCTATTTCTCCCTTGGGGAATTGTGGCTGCCGGGGACATTTTACTAATTTTTCATGGTAGGGGTAATGGTAGCAAGAGCTAAGGGTCCGACCAAAGCCTTATTTGGGAAATAAGGCTTTTGTAGAGGCTTTTGTTGGACCTGGTCCAAAACCCCCATTCCCTATACTACTGTATCAGTTTATAACAATTTTTTTTTTGCTCACGTTTGAAAATTTTAACACCCCAGCTTGTTGTTCGAAGGGTTGCCTTTGATCTTCCGTCCAGGAAGATAGAATCCAGGTTACTTTCCGGTACTATAGCCAAGCGTCCAGAATTTTGGTGCTCGTGAATGATAGGCCTCTCTTTAGAAAAAAAATATTAAAATAACAGTTTGGTTGCGTATGTAATGGTGGCCTAATTTAGGATTTTAGTCCAGATTTTTATGTATTGCTATAAGTGTATTTTCCCGGAGAGAAATATTCATTTTTTTAATTTGTTGGGAAAGTTAATGCGGAGATCTGATTATTTTCATGTCAATTTATTACCCTCAGTTTCGTTACTGCTGCCTGCTTTTGGTTCTTCCTTTATTTCAACCGGTGTTAGGTCCCTCTCTGTTGTAGCAGCATTGGCGAAGATTTCTAGAAATGTAGTTTAAATTTTTATTGTAATTTCATTGTGAAATTGGTTATAAGTTAGGGCAAAAACATATTGTGACTGGATTTGTAAGCACACGATACTTTTATAGCTTTTACTTAAAAGAATATGTGATAGTCAATTCACCTGCGGTATCAATAGTAGACACAATTTCATTAAATTCCTCGTCGCTGAAATCCATCTCGTAAACTTCCGAAAAATTGCCTACGTGGAAAATTCCAAAGACCGCGTCAAAATCCATGGAGTTGTTGTTGTTATGTTCCGCCATCATTGTGGTCAAACGGAAGTAGTTCTCACAATAAGATTTGTTAATGCGCGGAGAAGCGGCCTTACAATCAGATGAGCGTCAATCCAGAATTGATGCCGTCTGATTTTTCTGAACAACCAATCAGAATCTAGTATTTTCTTGATTCATGGTAGAATACATATTCACTGATAATATACATTGCTTAATTACACATATTCCTTGATGATGAAAAATCCCTGCAATATATATTCCCTGATAATACATATTACCTGATAATACACATTCCCCAATAATACATATTACCTTATAATACGGTCAGAATTCTTGTTAACACAAATTTCCTGTTAACACTCATTGTCTAATCACACATATTCACTGATAATACACATTCCCTAATAATACATTTACCTGATGATACAGAATTCTTGTTAACACATATTAACAGTCATTGTCTAATAATACATATTCACTGATAATACACATCCCCTAATAATATTCCCTGACAACACATATTCCCTATTATTGTGGATATAGCCTATCTTATATACAATATATGATCTACCTTATATACAATACGTTAATAAGCAACATATTTGAACTTGGATCTCAAGGATAAGATTTTAATCGTCACCGTCTTAATCGTTGCAGGATGTACAAGAAGGCTGTGGAGAAGTTTGTGGCATTAAAAATATTCAGTCTCATCCGTGACGACGATGCCGTGGATCAGATACACCACAGGATGATGGTCATCGTTCTGGTCCTTATGACAGTCTTCTTTAGCGCTAAAACAAAATGGGGCTCCATCGACTGTTGGGTACGTTTATTTCACAGCTTATGAAATATTCACCTGTCAATTGTCTTAATCAAGTAACTCCAGACGCATTTTGTACAAATATTACGAGCAATGTTACTGCTAGATCAAGCCCGTTACTCTTCCTCCCCCTTAATTTATGCTATGGTAATGTGTTTCACTTGGGATGGCACGGCCCTTGGCATAGTCCATGGAACAGTGCGGTTAAGCGTCATTTGCAAACCTTAGGGCTATTAGCGGTACTATATATAACCAGTTTTAGTAAGCCAGTTTTGTTTCATATTGATTGCTTCAATACCAAATACTTGACAGGCAATACACCTTTTGTTGATGTCCAGCATATGGTCATTTCACAACTCTGTTCTCTCGTGTGACATAACCTGTAGTACATTAAACAGAGTACACTGGTAAACTTATAAATAATACATTTGTAGAGCGCCTAATACCCATCTTAGTAATGCTCAGTGGCGCTAATTATACGCAAAGCACAGGCATTATTATATTACCCCGGATAACCCAAGCTGCCTCTGAGGAGCTAGAAGAATAACAGTCATATAACATCTATCCCACTGGGTACCCATTCACTGCTGGGTGATCAGAGCCAATTTAAACAAACACACTTGCCTGACCACATGCATGCTTCGTTATGGGGCAGGACTGAAGTCCTAGAAACATTCGTTTGTAGTTGATTAAACATGTTCATCAGTTTATGTACAGCTATTGTAGCATGGACTCTTCTTTGTTTTGAAGGTTCCAAAAGAGTACAACGAAGAAAATTTCAAACCCTACATCCACCAGTACTGTTGGATCAGCAACATGTACAACGTGCCGTTCAGTGAATATCTCCCCGAGGACGTTGACGAGAGAATGTCAGGGGACAGGAGTCTCCGATTTTATCGCTGGGTATTTCTGGTGTTCCTTATGCAAGCGCTCATGTTCAAATTTCCCAATTTCATTTGGAGATCCTTCAACACTTTTTCTGGCATCAACATAAAAAAGGTCGTGGAACTGGCCCTCAAGTCCCAGCTGGAGGGAGAAGAAGATAGGGAGATGAACACGAGATACACAGTAGAATATATCCACAGATGGTTGAAGTCATACAGGCACTTTGATTCCAGTCCTCTCGCAAGATTTCAGTCTATGCTCTTCAGCGTTGCCTTCTGTTTGGGGAAGCGTTCGGGACGCTTCCTGACAAGGCTCTACCTATTTGTCAAGGTCCTCTACCTCCTCAATGTATTAGTACAGTTCCAGATCCTATCGGCCTTCCTTGGTTTCAACTTCTGGGGTTACGGTGCCGAAGTTGTGAGGATGTTACAGGCTGGCGCACCAATGAAGGACTTGGATAACTTCCCACGGGTTGGTATGTGTGACTTTGAAATCCGCCAGCTCCAAAACATCCAACGCCACACAGTGCAGTGCGCCCTACCCATAAACATGTACCTGGAGAAGGCTTACGCTGCTCTGTGGTTCATCTTTGTGATCCTCGCACTGGCGACCCTCATCAGCCTCATCAAGTGGACAGTGGCGGAAGTCTTTACCTCAAGGAGGGAGGGATTTCTGAACAAGTACCTCGAGATGCTCCGACAGATGGATTTTGAAGTGGACGTCCGGTTGTTCCAGCACTTTGTGAGGCGCTATCTGAGAGATGATGGCGTCTTCTTGATGAGGATAGTGACGAACAACGCTGGGGAGCTTCTTGCCTTTGATATCCTGAAGCTTCTTTGGGCAAAGTATAAGAAGGAGCTGCACAAATCAGATGACGATGAAGACCTTTTGTCAGATTCCAAACCTCTTACCAACGGACCTGAATAGTTCCTGGTTGTACTGAGTTGCAATGCCTGAGTCAATTTCCAGCGCCGACAAATTGTTTTGACGTCCTTCAAATACTAACGTTTTCGCCTTAACTCGTGTGGTGCTGGTAAAAAGTTAATGATTATTTTTAAAGATTTTGTAGATTTGCTGTTTGCTAACACCTAACGTCTCCTTAGGTTGGGTTTGTAGTGAGAGAGTGAGTTTGTTTCAACAAAGCTTTGAACAGTATTTCAGTTGTCAGCTTTGAATGGAAGGAAAAACCTGATAGAGAACATATATGTCTCAGACATTTGCCACTACGGGACCCCGTTCTGCACAGCAATTGCAACTCCTGAGACGACAGGAACACCGTTGCTGCTACTTCCGTTTTGATGAACTGAAGGATGAACTGATTGTCTCAAGGATATTGTGATTTAGAAATCTGGACATTATATAATCGAGAGAATCCTCTGTAGATTGAACATGTTCAACATATAATAAGCGATAAAAAAACAATTATGAAAAGATTTGACGATTACATGTAAGAATATAAATTTACATTAACGTTTGTAGAAAATGATATTCGGCGATTTTGTTTCGTTGAAGAGAACATTAACACGAACACAATTTTGAAAATTTGTAAAAAGTATATATTAGTTTGTAAACAAAGTAACTGGAGACAGTTCAATAGCACGCCCTTTCATAATACAATGATAATAATTCCCAAAACATGTGATCCTCAAGATGATACAATGTATCATAACTGTTATTGCACACTTTGTATGTCATATACTCAACATATTATTGGACCCACAAATTGACCGATATTTGCTAATATTTCCTACGAATATGGAAAGAGTTTTGTCGCTTGCTTTAATCACGTGTGTTCATTTGTTTCAGGACTGAATAAAACAACATTGTGCCTTTAACTATTTTATTTTATTTTTAGGACTTTAACCATGATGGATATTTCTCAGTTTATTGCAAGTATATTTTTCTGTCTTAGTGTCATCGCTGTTCACAAACTAATATGCAGTTTAAAGACAGACTACCCTAAGGGAAACATTAAAATATATCTATTGCGTCATTTACGGTATTTTGATGTTGACACAGCGTTGAGAACGCCCAAACAAACCGACTTCCACCGATGGAAACCTATGAACACCAAATTTGAATTGGCTCTCAGTTTCTCTCGAAAAATGGAAGAATAATAAGTTGTTGTTTTTAAAAAAAGCATGTAGGATAGTAAACGACCCCAGTTTGAATGTGAATATTAATATACGGAGGCGTGAGTCCCCCAAATACAATAGAAAACATGTGTGTTCTCGAGGTAAGTGTTCAGCAAAACTATACGCGTCGATATTTATTTGTATGATCTTTATTGTTAATAATTATCATCTTGTGATTGACTATGTAATGATGGAAAACACATTTGCAAAAGGATCATAAAACATTATCTAAACTCTTAAAATTCAAAGTGCTGGGGGGCCTGTAACATATATACAAACGTCATCGTCAGAAAATATATTGTGTATTGGACGAAAGACATTCTACAGGACCTACCAGGCAATGTGGGGTCACTGCAAAAATCAGCCATGACACCAGGTATTGCGAATATGCTAAGAATAGAACTTTTCAAATATATACAGCAGGTCACGTTCCAAAGATGGAGGACTGTTATGACAATGGCAGCCATCTCAAGACAGAGCACCTAATTCTTTTATCAATACTTCAAGATATCAAATATCAATCATGATACTGTAATATTTTTCTTTGAAAATATCACTATGCTTGCGAAATGCATTCCAAGTCACCTCCTCCTTCTTAGAAGACGTGAGATAACCACCAGATCCCCACTGTCCCCAACTACCCCTCCCAGTCCTAGAACCTGTCTCGACGTTATCTTCCTTGTGTTAGTGGCCTGAGACAGCTCGACATCAACAGTTGACAGGAGGGATCGAGAGACGAACAAAGGTATGGTATGCTTTCTAGATACGAGCATTTAACTAGTCTAGTATTTTTCACCGATCTAGAACACTGACATATGTTAAAACAGCGACTATGTAATTATTGTTTTGTGTGAAAAGAAAAAAATACATGTGGAACTTGGACAAATATTCTTTTTCAGAGATGCAATATTTTAGTTAGCAAAAATAGTAAAGTTTGTTATTATAAAAAATAAAATTATTTATATCCAACTGGACAAAATAAGTCATTCTGTTATTTCAAATTTACTACTTTCTGCAATTTTAATCTAAGCACGTGTAAAACTTCAAGGTATGCACTAGTTACAACGATCGCATAAAATGCACGTGCAATACGATTATACGGTATACCGATGTCGAAACACGACAGCAAATATTAATTCTATGTATTACGAATATATTCTTCGCAACGTCATCAAATTTCATTCAAATAGTCAAAATTTATAGATTTTAACTTTCTATTCTACATATAACGTTTTTCGACAGCTCATTTGATCCATATATGAAATGTGCACGTATTTGTGTGTTTCCATGTCATAAAACTGGTTTACAAAAGTTTTAATTTAATACTCGGAGGTGACATGTAACGTGTTTCAAATATCAAAGAAACCAACCTAAACTGGAAATTATCGATTTCAGTGCACCTACCTTTCAGAGACAGTAAGTATTGAGGAAGGAGGATACTCATCCCAATGTAAGTAGATACCTTCAAATTATTATGTTCAATCACAGGCAAACTGTAGCGCATGTTTCTCTCTGTTGCGCAAACCCTATTTGCGCTACAGTTTGCTATGTGGATCAATGCATGCCGGGTATGCATTGTTTACTTCTTTATATGTATGTGTTGTAAAATCATAACAAGATCAATATTTGAACATTCACTATGGAAATAGCTTGTTAATGACGTATCATTTTGTTAAACTTTAACCACATGCAAGACGTTTAGCATGAAAATGTTCATTGAAGGAGATGGGGAGGGGGAGGAGGGTGCTTTAACCTGTTATCCGTTCTTTTAATATTTTAAATATTACCTTACTAGTGAAGCATCATGATCGATAGACACATATATCTAGGTAGGATATGCTGAACAAACCCGATCGTACGAAATCCGTGAAGATCCCGGTTAGAATTGATCTTCAGCAACCCATGCTTTGTTTAAGAAGCGACTAACTTAATCGGGTGGTCATTCTCGCTGAGATCTAGGTCACTGTATCTCAATGATACTGATGATATCAATGACAGAAATGTCCAGTCAAGATTCGATTATATACAGTCCCCCGCCATATAACTGGGATATTGCGGCGTGTAACAACAAACAAGCTAACGGTCAGGCTGATAGAAATTATAGTATCCGAATCCTAAATACATTTACTCTTTGGTGCTATCATTTATTTCATTAAATAGTTTAGATATTTTATTTGTTAACTTTGCTTCATACTAAATGCATTTGGTTCGTCTCCCTATCACAATACAGACCACTCGAGTATTTCCTGTACAAGGCGATAATACGTGACATCAGTGATATGGCCTACAGACACATTCAGATTAAAAATCTGCCATGTCTTGCAAAGGGTTAATATCTTTTTGAAATATGAAGTTTGTGAGTGAGTTGGATTCCCGGTTCTATCAGCAGTAGTATCACGGCGTGTCAGGTTAATTTTTGAGAAAATACGAAGTGATGAAGGTTGCAGATGCTTACCACCTTGGCGAAACCTACGAACACGTTAGTGTTGCTGCTAATAACCTAGAAATATAATCAGGCGATCTGGATTCGAACCAACAATCACATTCTTAAAAAAATATGGCCATTTGTGCCCCTCCATTTGGCGAAAACCATTATATTTTATGTTTGAAAAGATGACTATTATTATGTTATCTTGTACAAATACGCATTGTCGTATGACCAACATTACACGATTTGGGGCGGACGGGTAGTCTCGTGGTTGAAGCGTTCGCTTGTCACGCTGAAGACCCGGGTTCGATTCCCACATGGGTACAATGTGTGAAACCCATTTCTGGTGCCCCCGCCGTGATATTTCTGGAATATCGTAAATGCGGCGTAAACCTTAACTCACTCACTCACTCACTACAAAGATTATGTTTAATCCTTAAATGTCGTGTTTTGTTTCCTGTCCATTGTGACAGTTAAATGAGGAAAAGTGGACTAATATTTTCAGGTTGAAACAAGCGCTTGACCAGCTTGCAAAACTATCTGCTGCACGGGCAACGCGACGATGACCTCATTGACCAGTTACACCATTACGTTGCTGTGGGAACGTTGTTGGCGCTCGCTGTGTGTTGGTCGGTGCCAAGTCCTTTGTGGGTGCGCCTATCAATTGTTGGGTAGGTCAATAAATATATCATACCTTTGATAATGCTGTACTTGTCTGTCCAGATATATTTTAAAAGATCAAGTCTTGAATAACATGGTATACTTTGATTGAATCAGCTCTGAAGGTAATCGTTTTGTGTGTAATATTTATGGGAAGTAATATATTATGAATATTATAAGATCAATCTATATCTGGGTTTTAAATGTCAGTAAACAGGTTTTATATTCATCAAAACGTGAAGAAATATTCCTTTCATATATTTGTGCTCAATGAATTGCGCTTATATCCAATATCCAACCCATATTGCTACAAATTTCGGAATCCACAAGTCTCTCGTTGGGTACAAATGTGGAACTTTGCACGTCATGCGACCGACGGCTGCCTTGGCTATTGGTCACCAACGAAACACATAAAGCAGTTTGTGGACCACTGATAACGGTACTTTTTATCCCCTACACCAAAGGGTAAACGATTTCAGTAACCGCCGTGTGCTTTTGTTGCTTTTTGTACTTTCATATTGTGCCACCAGTGTTATATATACAAAATATGTAATAATACTTTCCAGGTACCGAAAGAATACGACAAGGATCATTTTCAAGATTACGTGAACGCTTACTGTTGGATATCCGACATGTACAACGTGCCTTTCTCAGAGTCACTTCCGGTTGCGATTGATGATCGGATGTCCGAAGACCGAGACGTCAGCTTCTACCGTTGGGTCATAATGTCATGTTCATGGTCCAGGCATTTATGTTTGAGATCCCGCACATGATATGGAAAACAATGAAAGGCTTCTCGGGCATTAACATGGAAAAGATCGTTGGCATGACGCTGGACACAGGAGATGCAGCCGGAAGATGACCGCGACACCAAGATGAAGCATATCTCCATCTTCATCGACAGATGGCTGAAGACGTACCGCCGATTTGAACAAAACCCGTTCGGGAATCTGAAGAACAGGTTAGCTAACGTTTTCTTCTGCTTTGGCAAACGTTCAGGCTGTTACCTCACCAGACTGTATCTTTTCGTGAAGCTGCTGTATTTGGTCAACGTTGTTTCTCAGTTTCAAATCCTTACCTCCTCTTTCCTTGGGTTCAACTACCGGGCGTACGGAGGTAATGTTCTTTGAACTTCTAGCCGGCGACTCCTATTGGGTAGATCTACAGAACTTTCCTCCCGCATTGGAATGTGCGACTTCCAGATACGGCAACTTCAGGAATGTTCAAACATTCACGGTTCAGTGTGTCCTGTCCATCAACCTCTTCCTGGAAGATCTATGCTGCACAGTGGTTTGTTCTTCTCATCCTGTCTCTGCTGACCCTAGGGAGCCTGATTTCCTGGACAGTTGAGGAGGTGTTCACATCAAGGCGGGAGAAGTTTCTCAACAAGTACCTGTTCATGTTTAAAGATGGCGGAGATTCTGGTTGACCTGAAGCTCTTCAAGAAATTCGTGCGACATTATCTCCGAGATGACGGCATCTTTCTGTTACGAGTTGTCGGCAACAACACCAGCGATATTATGACCTTTGATCTCCTAAAACACCTATGGGCCAAATTCTAGAAGGAGCATCCACAAATCTGATGACGAGTTCAGTCCTGAAACAAAATCCT